CTCTGAGGCTGTTTGGTGGCACAGAGATCCCTCTGCAGCTCATTCCACCATCCCTGGCTGCAGAACCCCACACCTTCCCTGTACAGAAGGGACAGCAGAAAGCCTTGCCAGACCTTCCTGTGTTGAAGTCTCCAAGCTGAAAGGGTTGGGGTTTTTTTGCACAAATCAAGATTTGAAAATTCTGGTTTGGGAATAAAAGTGGAAGGGAAATTTCACCCTTAACTCTGAACTGGCTGAACCCTGCAGTCCAGGCAGTGGAGGCTGCGCTGTGACTCAGGGACTCGGGTCCCATCCCACTACTTGCGGGGGTGAGTCAGCACAGGTAGTTGCACACAGTCATCTGCCAGCTTCCAGGGAAGGCTCAGCCTTGTTCACAGCTGCTGAATCATGAGATAGGTAGATAGATAGATAGACAGACTGATAGACAGACAGATATACAAACTTAAATATTGCATCCAAAAAATTGTTTTGTGCTTATAAGTATGCTGAAAAAATAGATCTATACTAAAAAAAGGAAAAAAAAAAGCTTCATAAAAATAACATATCATCTCTGTTCCCCGTGATTTGCAGCTAAAGAGAGAAAGCACATATACACTTTATTTGAAGTGGGAGGATGAAAGCTTCTTTCAGTCCTACAAGCTGACACGAACACTAAGAGCCAGTGCTTTTACTGCCAGACCATAAATGCTGAGCTGCTGCAGTGTGAACAAAGCCTTTCCCAACGCCTGTGCAACATCTCACCTCTCCAAAGAAGCTACCCAGGTGAAAAGAGAATCAGAGAACAACCCTGCTCTCCTTGCATGGGGGACAACCCTGTCCTCCAGCTCTGCCAGACCCACTGGGGCAGGAACACTGCCTAGAAGAAACAAAACCAGAAGGCAATTAAAACAAGTTTTACACAAACACTTTTGGAATAAGACTGCACTTGGAGTGCCATTTTTTTCAGCCATCATACATTCAGCAATGCAGGTTTCAAACATATTAACAGAGCACAACAGAGATTTCAGTTCAGTCCCAGCCTTTAGCTGACATGAGTCTTGGTTTATCAGTCACATGATCCAAATCTTGTTACCATGTTCTCTACTTTGGAAGGGAAAATTCCTTTTTTAAAATAGTTACTCACTTGAGTCTTTGAAATCAAATATTTCAAGACCTGTAAAGTTCAGTGACAACTTGAAAGTGAAAACACGTGCTTACAATTTGTTGCCCAAAGTGGGAGGAAAATGACAAAAAAGTGAAGAGCCAATGAGTTTTTAAAAGCATGTTGATGCTAATCTCTTGCAGTAGAGAAAAAAATGAAAATTCATCTACCAGCCAAACTTCTATTACCCAGTTCAAGTCAAACCTTGGCCAAATTCCAGCCTTGGTAAAGGCTGCATGAGAGATAGTGTCAGTGATGGTCCCTTGTGGGGAGTGTGGCTGCCCAACCTCTGCTCTCCTTGCTCTTTTACCTCCCTGTTTCCAAGCTGTAAGAGCTGTGCCCTCTGCATTTTCATAACCGTTTCACGATGGGCTGGGCTGGGCTCCAAGCTGGAGCACGGGATTCAGGCACCACTCTCAATACACCACCACCACACACTGGCTGGGTGGGACTGGTGTTCCTCTTTACAAACACAGTCAGAAATGGTGATGGTGCTGCTCATCTTGCATGTAACAAGCCAGACCCAGAGGTGGAAATGTGCCTCTACAGGCTCCTCTGCCAGAATCCCCTGAGAAGCTGTGTTCCTGTGCAGGACAGAGAAAATTTCCCCTTGCCAGAGACCCTACTTTGAAGAGGAAAAAGGATCTCATGCAGGTCAGTACTTAAGACCCTTACCCAGGAGAAACACATGGGATGGAAAGAGAAACACACCACCCTCTCTGAACAGTACAAGCTATTTGGAAATGCTGTTTTAAACATGCAAGCGTCATGTTGCTAGATGTGTGCAACCTGTTGTAAAACATCCCACGCAAGAAGCTATTTGCAATTAGAATTTCACAAATGCCTACTAATCCCTAGCTCCCAGTGATATGGTGAGATTCACTGGGAGCAAATGCAGCAATTGCTTTATCACATTGAAATTCTTTGCTTTTCATCACGGCAAGAGGTTGAGCTGCACTGAAGCTGAGAAGAAGCCTCCATCCTTCTCAGACAATGAGACCAATGCCATCCATACTCACCTCTTCCTCAGATAAGGTTTCTTCAGCAGAACCCCAAGGTTCAGCTCTGATGATAAAATCAAAGTCCCTGAGCCTCAAAAATTAATTGAGACCATTGCTAGAGAGGTTTCCACTGAGCAGCAGCGATAGCTTATGAATTTTATGCCATCCTGGATTGCTGCTGTATCCAATTTTAAGGATGCTCAAAGAAAGAGAAGAGAAGCATTAGTTAAAAAGCCTCCCTCCTACAAGAACTGTAGTAACTGCTTGTAGTACCTCATGTCAGCTACACCACAAGCAGCACTGGCTGAACTTCCCTGCTATGAGGCACTGGCTCGGCAGCTCTCCACAAACCTGGCATCTTGTTGCCAGAACTCTGAAATTCCCCATAACGATGTTAAAAGCACTTACGACTTCTGCACCATCTGTGCCTTAGCCAAGGGTCTTAGAGGGGCAACCTACATGGCTGACATTGCTGAAGGTGTCTGCTACAGGAAGTCTGTGATCAGGAAGACAACTAGAAGAAGCCTGATGTTTGCAGGCCCTGCTCCTCATGGAGGACTTAAACCCATCTGATACCTGCTGGAGGGACAAGACCCAAAAGCACAAGCAGTGCAGGAGCTCTCTCGAGCGCTGACAACTTCCTGACCCAGATATGGAAGAGCTGATGAGGGGGCATGGGAGCATGTCATAGAAGAAGCCTGACAGAGCTGGACCTGTTCAGCCTTGGAAAGGCTCAGAGGCATCTTACGAGTGCAGGTTCTAGTCTCCATCCTTGGAAATACTTAACCCTGACAACCTGGCCCTGAGCAACCGGCTCTAATTGCCCCTGCTTTGAGTAGTGGAGTCGGGACTAGATGATTGCCAGAAGTCCTTGCCCAACTCTGCAATTTTGTGAATTTTACAAGAAAGTGAACTTTGAAGACACAGAAACAGCTATGTCCTTTATCATGTCCTCGCAGATGAGCCTACCTCCAGCAGTACAGTATCAAACACATCTGAGAGGGTTGTGAAATGAAGTAATAGTAAAAACCACACTAGTGCAACGCAAAACATTTGTGAAGATTTTAATTGGGACATTTACTGGAAAAACTCAGATGAGGACAATGTGGAACATTAACTCCTTAGTAATTAATTCCACATTTTGCAAAGACAAAAGTTTCAGGAAAGATAAGGAAAACATTAGGGAAACCACACAAAAGTCATGACCAGGACCTGTAACACAACTAAACTAACACCTATCAGGAGCTGCTGTGAAGAATAAATAGTCTTTACAGTTAACCTGCACATGGATAGTGTCTGAAGTCAGACTTTTACACTGAATTGATTTGGGCACCAGTGAAGAGGATGGCTTTTGTCCCCTCTCAAGCAGATCTACTGTAATGTCAGATAAATACGTAAGATTTTAACAGTGTAGGTTTTTTCCACAAGGCTCCCTGAGCTGTGTGTTTAACTTTGCCAGACTAGCAGGTAGGCACTGAAGGGCATCTTCTCCCCCTTTTACTTCCACACTTGAAGAAAAGACACTACCTTTTGCTTTTCTTACCAGAAGAAATAAAATGAATTCTTAGAAGATACTAAGACAACAGAAAAGAATGTACATGTAATCCAGACACTACCTTTTGCTTTTCTCACCAGAATAAAAGGAATTCTTAGAAGATACCAAGACAACAGAAAAGAATGTACATGTAATCCAAGATCTATTCATGTACAGCTTTCCTACTGCCCAAATTGGTTGCAAACCTCAAAATTCTACACCCATATGGAAAGTCCTGCTCGTGCACAGCTGGACTTTAGGGACATTTACCTTCTACTGCCATGTTACATTGATTTTTGTTGACTTCCTGTAATAAAAGTTTTATTATAAGCTTAGGGTATCCTCAACATGCACCCAACACTTCTAGACATAGATAATTTGGACAGGGATATTCAGCTCTTCCTAATACCACTCCATTTTAACACATGGCAAGATCCAGTTATCATCGGGTCTGTATTAAGTTGGCAACATAATAATGAAATGCAGATGAATTTGCATTTTTCTGCAGCACAACAATGCATTCTCTTCTCCAGCAAACAAAGCAAAGAGCCTCTGCCCTCAGCACTTAACAAAAAATTATTAGTCAGTTGTGTGAAAAAATTTAACAATCAAGACTGTTTTTAAGCCCCTAGATTTGTATTCTGAATTACATAAACATCTGAAACCACCACTTAATACAGCTTAAAAATCCAAAGCATTTCTTATAAAACTATATAAAATTAAAAATAAATATCTGTTGCTTGGAGTTCATTCAAAATGCTGAACTTAAGTATCATTCATTCCTTTTCCAGAGTTCAAACCACAAACATACATTTACTGTACAACAGCTTATGTACTTTACCAAGAAAGAGGTATCTTCAACTAAGAAAATACAAATATTCCACTTACACATAAAAGATAGATTTACGATTTCAGACATGATTTTTTAATATTCAAATTCTTCTCTGTGTAACTACTATTACAGAACAACTTTAAGACATCCTTTGATACGTACTGACATAAATATCACCATCCAGCCCAGTAAAACTGGACAAAACTGGTGTTAGTTTTAAACCTGTTCAGTGCTAAAAGTCCAGAGCTGGGACTCAAATGGTCAACTGACCTTTAGAACATACAGATCAACAAAAAAATGTTTATTATTGTTTTTATTATTCTCAGGTAGCAAATTCTCCAAAGTCCTTCAACAAACAAACTCATGTGTTATGTTGCTGGTTCTATCTTGTCAATCTCTTCCTTCTTTGGACCCTCCTCTCGGTTTTTGCCCTGTTGCATGGTATAGACTGACGGGCCCATCCTTAGGATCTTTCCACTGCCCAAGCACTCATCACCCTTGTAGAACACAGCAAACTAGGAGATAAACACAGGGAGAGTCTTTTCAGCAGCTGCAAACAGCACAGTGAACAACTGCAGGCTGGGAAAGACCTGCTGGACAGCGAGTGTATTAATCTGTATTTGTTCTGACTAAATCTAAAAAACAACCAAACAACCAACCAAGCAAAAAAACCCCACAACCCCCCCCCCCCCCCACACACAAAAAAAAACAAACAACAAAAAAAAACCAGCAAGGGATTTGTTGGCTCACGAGTGTAAATATAAACATGTTGGTGGAAATTCCATCATGAACTTCTACAAGATTATCTCAAAACTCTTCAGTTACTGAGATAGAATGGCTTTTGCTGGAAAGTCTCCTCTCCGAAAGGGGACAATATACATAACATCACCTGCATCTCCACAGGACCTTCCTCAGACAACTGTGACCAGACAACAGTGGCACTTCTCAAAACAGGAAGGGGACAAAGGACTACTGGGGCAAACCAACTCCAAGGAAGAGACTGGGGCTCCCTGACATACCCAGCAGGTTCTTGCAGGAGAGGACAAGCACAGACCTCCTGGCCTTGTGTCACTACCTTGCAGTAAAGAGCCCGGTTACAGGCTCAGCAGCTCCTGACAGTCAGGGGCTTCTCATGCCCACCATCAGCTCTGGCTGGAGTCTTCTCAGCTCAGCTCACTTCTCTTAAATGTATCACTCTCCATTACAAACAGTTCCCAGACAATTTCCTTCCTGACATGTCCCACGGGCACTCAAGTTTTGGGGAGGGAGAGTGAGGGTAGAATGTATGCTGGGAGAGGGCATGCAGCAAGTGTTTGAGATCTACAGTTTTACAATGTGATAAGAGTATCTTTATATTAGGCACCACTACGCAGTGCCTCTTCTCACTACCGTTCCAGGACAATGAAATTCACTGGACACAGATCCTCACTAAACAAATGTGAACACTAAAATTGTATTAAGCAGTCAATTCCCAAACTAATGCCTTTTAAAAATCTCTTTCTTGAAGACAACAACAGATTCCATTTCTGCATATACAATTGATTACCAGAGATGTTTTCATGTATTTCTAAAGCTTGTAAGCCAGTTTCTCAGACTATATGGGTAACAACAGACCATTTAAAACTAGAAACAATCTCCTTCAAAATAGCTGATGAACAGTCAAAATAGAGCTAACTGGACTCACACAGAAAACTAACTACTTTGCTCCAGTTCATAAAAACACGACACTCCTTTATTGGCCAGATCACAGAATCATAGAATGGTTAGAATTGGAAGGGACCTTAAAGATCATCCAGTTCCAACCCCCCTGCCAGGAACAGGGACACCTTCCACTAGACCAGGTTGCTCAAAGCCTCATCCAGCCTGGCCTTCAACACTTCCAGGGAGGGGACATCCACAGCTTCTCTGGGCAACCTGTTCCAGTGTCTGACCACCCTCACAGTGAAGAACTTCCTAATATCTAATCTAAACCTCCCCTCTTTCAGTTTAAACCCATTTCCCCTTGTTTTGTCATTAACTGCCCTTATGAAAAGTCCCTCCCCAGCTTTCCTGTAGCCCCTTCAGGTATTGGAAGGCCGCTATAAGATCTCCCCGGAGCCTTCTTTTTTTCAGGCTGAACAGCCCCAACTCTTTCAGCCTGTCCTCACAGGAGAGGTGCTCCAGCCCTCAGATCATCCTGGTGTCCTCTTCTGGACTTGTTCTAGCTGTTCCAGGTCTCTCTTGTGATGGGGGCTCCAGAACTGGACGTAGTATTCCAGGTGGGGCCTTAGGAGAGCAGAGTAGAGGGGGAGAATCACCTCCCTCGACCTGCTGGACACGCTTCTTTTGATGCAGCCCAGGATACGGTTATTGGCCTTCTGGGCTGCAAGCGCACATTGTCTGCTCGTGTTCAGCTTCTCAATCAGCGAAAACACAAAAAAGGAAAGAAAATAACTTCTAATAACTTACTTGCCCAGGTGTGATAGCTCTTGCTGGCTTCACTAGCGTCACCCACACACTTCCATCTTGGTTTAGAGTCAGCACACAAGGCACTAGAGCAGAAAATGGCCAAACACCTGCCAGTTAATCCTTACTTTCACATTAAAAAAGAAAAACATTCATCACTACGTTAAACAGCTGAAAATCAAGATACTGTGGCACAGAATTGTTCTATAAACACACTACTGAAACAGAAAGGCAAGTCAAAACATTTCAACTGTTTCTGCAGAACTATACTGAACACACTACTACAGCTTCATGAACTGAGTAAAACAAAAACCAAAACCAGGTCTCATTACCCAGTGCCATCTGGTGCCGAAACCTGAAATGACATTCCATCATTTTATCTCTAACGAGCTCTGCAGGAGGTTCCTCCGCTATCCAGTGCACTCGGTTTGTCCGCAGCAGGTCTCTGTACAGAGCGGGGTGATCTGTTGATGGTGCCTTAAAATACAACGTTTATTTAATGCTGATGTTTCCCAGAGAACGTATAACTTGTAAAGTAAAGCATGAAATACAGAAGAAGCATCAAACTGTATCAAAATGAAGGCAAAATGAGTAAGAAAGCAAGCATTTATTAGCACTTCATCAGCCTCCAGGTGGAAGCCTTTAATGAAAAAAATAGGCTGAAGCAAGCCTGAAGTATTTCTCAGTCTTCTACACCTCACAGCCATGTCACTTCTTGTATTCTTTTTCCTCCCATCACATTTCTGCCTTCTTTAGTCCAAGTTCAGGCATCTACTGCTCTCCTTATTCTACATCAACAAGATGCTACCTCCCTCTTCCCCAGTTTCTCAGCTCAACACCTCCTCAACAAAGCGTGTTGCACACACACCACCACTGTAGGGCATAAAAAAAATTTCTTAGTGGTCCTGCCTGTTTCATCTCAGCTCCCATCTGATTATGATTTTTGCCCCCCCTAGGCACACCAACAAATAGCAGAACACATTATTATAAATCACGTCAGTGTCAAGTAAGAATAACAACTGCAAGAACAGCAAGAAACATTAATGCTAGCAACCCACAGAACTCCCAGTTATCTCATATGATGCCTTCATTAACACACTGATTATTTGCAGTATTATTTATATTCTGCCTCAGCTTTCAAGATGATAAAATTGTATTACTGGCCACTACTTCTGTTATTCGAAAAAGAAAGTAGCAATACATAGTAAACCAAGTTAATACACATTTTATATACTGTGTCACAGTAACAATTAAAAATCCATGTTTTAGAGCAGAAAATAAGAGCTCAGTAGATTGGCTGCTTCTTCTCAGTATTTGCCCTTTGCTTGGAAGAGTTCTCTGCCAAAATCTAAACCAATTTTCTACTCAAAAAAAGCCCGTTTGGACAAGATGTTTCAAATCTGCTGATGCTGCACTAGCTGGTTCTTGTTTCCCCCAAAAGGAAAGCCAAGAGTTCTGCCCAGGTTAGAATCACATTCCATACAGCAAGGGTCACAAAATGCTTGCATTAGTCATTTGCAGTACCAGTGTTAATTAACTTACCACAAAGACATCTCCAGTGCTGACATCTTTGTCTACAACAAACCAAGCATCCTTCAGGCCTGCTAGTCTGGCCCTCTGGCCTATTGTGTAGAGGAACCAACCTAAAGAAATACAAAAAATGTAATGCTACTAGCAACTTTTAATCTTTTCCTTTCAGAAAAAAATATTAAAATTATTTCCCCAAAACTCTACCACTAAACAAAGAATAATGAACCAAGTTGTCTTAGAGACAACTTTGCCAATTACAAACTAAACTAACATCTACTTGAAAGTTTTCATCTGTACCTGAAGCACATTATTTCAAATTAATCCGTTTTCAATTGTGGTATTCTTTGGGTTTATGAAAGACAAACACTTCTTTATTTCAGCCTCAAGTTGTGGTTTTGCTACCACCCAGTCTTACCATTTTCCCTTTCTTTTATGTACTAGTAGAACATCCTACTTCCATAAATCACCTGGGAGAGGAACTCAGTTCTGGCAGTTTGAACTGAGGAGAGCAAAGGAAGGACACACAGAAGGAAAGGAAAAGGAATCTGCCCATGTTTGATGATGTCCTACTGTGCATCACTGAGGTGCAAGCGTATTTTTTCTGCAAAGTTTAGGTACTAAAGAATCCAGAACTGAAGCACAGTCATTTTGAAAGAATTAAATAACCAATGGTCGCTTGGTATTAAATTAACAACCACTTAGTATCAGCAAGTAACCCTAATAATTATCATTTACTTTCTTGCAACATGGAACAAATAATCAAGAATCAGTTGTAGTTCAAAGCTCTACTATTTTATAAAGCAAGTTTTTCATTATAATTAGAGTTATCAAACTGGGAAAAAACAAACCTGCAGACCGGTTTGGAACTTCACAAAATTTGTCCCTCCAAATATAAGCAGTATTGTTCTATATATGTAAAAGCAATTAAGGTGGGTTAGTCAATTACCTTTGTGTGTTCCCATCACCTTCTTATCTTCAATGGAAACAAAGTTACCTGGTTGAGGTTCTAAATACTATCAAATAGGAAGAGATTGTTTAAGTCACAAGATGTCCCAAAAAACCCCCTCAATATATTTCAGGTTCTGTCACTAGATTCTCCTGAATTTGGAAAAGAACTCTTCAAGAAGCAAACTCCACCCAAGTACCTTACTGCCTCTTCCTTGATGCTGCTTTAGAGAGAAAAGTAGGAAGGACAGCCCCTTTCAGCAGTCATTCTGGGCTTCCCCCCATCCTCACTCATGTCAGAGGGCAGCAGGATTCAGCCATTTGCCCCTCTCACATCCCAACCACTTGTCAGAGCCCGGCAGGCACGGAACTGCAAGTTCATACACTGCTTCTGCTACAGAAAGTGACTGTTTGCTGGTGGAGGAGCAAGACACTTCCTACAGGCTGTTGCAGTTAGCTTCTGAGTAGGTTTGGGACTGCAAAGGGAGGTGGGACATTGTTGTTTCGCGTGGGCCACAAGCTGCTGGAGATTTTCTGTAGATAGTGTTATAAACTACTACTGAAAACCAGAATAGAACATCATAAAGATTGTCATACATTTAATGTTGCTCACCTCAAGAAGGAAATTTTCAAAGTTTCTTTCACCAATGAAACAGACTCCCATACTCTGAAAAGCAAACATGGTATTGAATCCCTTAAAGCTGAGAAAACATTTGAAATAACATCTATTAATAATCTGTCCAAGATGAATCTTCCCCCCGCCCCATATGTATCCCAAACTATGGTAGGCATCTCATTAAATAAAACCACAACATCTGCTCCAACATAAGTGAACTAATTCTAGGCAGTACTAGTGAGCATAAAATTATGCTCACTGGTGCTGCATAGAAGAGAAATAAAAGCACAGAAGAGAAATAAAAGGAAATAGAACACATGTTCAATAAATAAATACATTAACCTTGCTAACTATATTGTATCGATATTAAAAACACAAGTCTCTTCCAGATTAAAGTACAAAAGTAACATAAATTATACAGTAACGGTACATCTCTTAAAAAACCTTTCAAACACAAACAGCCTTTCCTTTTCCTTTCGGTTCCTGCCTACATTCTTCAAACACCCATTTACAGTGGACAAATATAAACATTAAAAGTGATCAAGACAGCATCAGCAATACAACTGCTGGCTGCACTGCATTTTTTTAGGATCAACTCATGAAGGGTTAGTTCTCAGAGAAACAGAACTTTTTTTTTCTTTAAAGAGTAACTGTGGAAAAACAGTATGATCCAATTTCTATGAAGACATATTGAAAAACAATTAAAGTGAGGAAGCCTTTAAAAGCTATGGAAAACAAAGACCAAAGGCTTCTCACCTGCTGTGACAGAGAATGTTTTCCTTAAGGCTCACAGCATCCTAATACATTCACCTTCACCTTAGTTCTTCTGAGATACAATGGTTGACAAATTATCTGCAAGCTAAAATACACAACTAATCACAAGCTCTCAAATTACTTTCAGGCGAGCAGACAGCTATAAAACTGCTTCTCAGTCTATTATGGAGCTTGGAAACAGACAAAATGTCACAGATTAAAGTTCAAAAAGTTCAGGAAAATCTGTTTTAGAGAGAAATACAGATCAAAAGAGTGTAAGTGTTACCATGCCTCTTTTTTCTTCAGCACATGATGAAGGCCGTGTTCCGCTGCTATCTTCTTTACAAAACTTTTTGTTAAATCCCCTAAAGGAAAAATGGTTTTTCTCAGAGCATCCTGCGAGATCTGACTTAGAAAGAAGGTCTGGTCCTTAAAAAGGTCAGCCCCTTGAAGGAGTTTCACAGCTGTAAAATGCAAAACACATAAAGCATCTCAACATAGCCACCTTTAATAGTTCAACTTTGTTTAGTACTTTGTTTGACAATCAACATTTTACTTTTATTCTTTCCAAATACATGTTAAAGACAGTATTTTTCAGGTTTTTCAAAGTCTAATTGAAAATGTTTGGGCATTTTCTCACCACCAAAAATATCTAGAAAGATTCTGATCTTTTGCAATGCAGAATCTTACAACATCTTACACTGCCTCATCTATTACAACACTGCATGTGTCAATGCAAGACCATAAATATGAAAACAACAATATGAAAAAAGAAAACAACTTTCACATTTCATGTGAAAGAGAGAATGAAAATTCAAGTATCTTAGAGTATTCTCGTCTTCAGAAAGACATTGTTTTGCCCTGAAAATCACACTGCTATGAAGCAATGATTTGAACAACCAGCAGAGTTATTCCCAAAGCTCAGAGAGGAGAGTTAGACTTCCTTCTTTAAAACAGATTAAGTTTCCTGATTGCTCAGATGAAATAAAATTGGTATAGTTTTTCACTCGTGTTCTGTCCCTTCTCTTTAAGAGCTAATAGCCTTGCTGTTGTACAAACTCTACTTAAGTGTTTCTTGACTCAAACGAACACTAACTACAGGTCAATAGTTCAGTCACAACTGATAATACAAAATAATAGGGCAGGAAGCCTGTTTAAAACATCACAAAATACTGTGAATCACAGCCTGTCACAAGTACAGCCCATTGGTCCCGCTGGGCCCTTTCAACTTTCCAGAAATAAAATTAAAACAAAGAAACAAATAAACCCCTTTAAGTCCAGAACAAACAAATGAAAGCAGGGAAGCTGTAACACAAAAACATCACCGTGGCAGCTTTGCATAGTGGTAGTTTGCAAGTTTCTTTCCCTTTGGGTATAGTCTGCTTCTCATTACACATCAGAGCTTCATCCGAGTTACTTTACTGCACTGCGGCCACTGCAGAGCTATTTAGGAAATCTCTACATTGCCATCCAAGCTGTGATAGTGCCATGCAGAGACATACTCAAAGCAGCATTCATCAAGCTGGCTTTGGTACTCATAACAAGAGAACCCCTGCGGTCCTGAGATCAACCTCTGATTATGTATAGCCACAGGCAGACTATGAGAATGGAATTTTCAATTGCAGTGCAGGCAGAACCTTGATCTACCTGGAAAAAACAGGTTTCTATAGGAGAGCAGAGAAATAAGGCAGAATAGTTGAATTACTGAAAAAGAACCTGATTTTTTCCAGTAAAATAATATACAGTCCAATTACTGTATAAAAGTATGTTATTAATTTTAATGTTTCAAAGTCTTAATTTTAAAATTCCACTTAAGCATATCCCCATGACAAGTTCTATCTATACTATTTACTGAATAACCAAATAATACATCCCCTAAAATAGAAGAAACGTTAAAAAATAAGATTTTCTGTAAGTCATGGAAATACTTGATAAAGATTTCTTGAAATATTTCTCCAGGGTATAGAAGATAGCCCTGTCTGCTTAATCCATATTACAGCTCCTCTAGAATGTTGATTACTACTGAAAACGCTGATTCTTACCTTTGCACCTAGATCAGAACTCCTAAAATCGAAAATAAAATACTTGACTAGTCAGGGTAATTTCCAGTGTTGTAAATACCCTGTTTTGCACAATCAACCTTCTCCACAGGCTGGGGTTTAAATGGTAACCATTGTGTGTAAGGTAACAAACTTCCCTTATTCTGTGACACCAAATAGTTTAAATTTCTCTTTCATGTCCAGGATGAAATATGAAATGAAGAAATCACTTACTATTTCTGACTTCAAAACGGTTTCTGAAAAGCCTTTGTGGTCTTTTAACATGTTTGTGTTGAAACACTTCCTCATCCTCTAGTGAGGTCCTAGCGTAATGCCCAGTAGCAATTGCATCTGCTCCTGTCAAGAAAGGAAGAACAAAACACAAAAGCACATACTTGAAATTCACAGTTTAAAACAGGATTATAAACATCCAGTAAGAAAAACAGAAAGCAATGAAGGAAGAACACCTATAGAGAAGTCTTATACTGACAATAATCATACTCTTGCTAAATTATGTAAACCATCCATTAGCATGCCAGCAGTTGTACTTTAAGACCACCTAAGAAAAACTTAGTGATCAGGTCAATGTTATGTCCCTGAACTAAATCTGTTCCTACATATAAGCAACCCGATCTAGTCGAAGATGTCCCTGCCCATGGCAGGGGGGGTGGACAAGATGACCTTTAAAAGTCCTTTCCAACCTGAACTATTCTATGATTCTATATGTAAAACCAAAATTAAAACCTAATACTGAAATACTGCCACAGAGATATGCGAATTAGGCATGCATATGACCTCATGTTTTTCCACATCTTTTCTTCAAGAGTTTGTATCCTTTAAGCATTTCCATGGCACACTCTGTACTGACACACTTGAAAATGCCTTACCAAGGTTATCCATGGCATAATGAAGAAAGTAGTTGAATTTGATGTGCTTGTTACACACAATATCAGGATTAGGAGTCCTTCCCAATTCATACTCTTTTAAGAGGTCACTGTAAAATAAAGATTCAAATGTATATCAATATTATTAACACTGCATAATACTATCAGAGACTGAACAATCTGTTTAAACATTAGAACTTGAGAGCCAGTCACACTAAACATTTCATGGAAGAAATAAAATACCCATTAGATTTTAAGCTGTAAAAAACAATGCTTGAAAGATTTTCTCCAAAGTGCGCTAAGGACATGGTCAAATGACCACTCACAATTTTTTAACTGTTTTATTAAATTCATACTCCCTCAGGGGAGGTATGGCTGCCCACTGCACACATCCTACTCATCTCTTACAAACTACTTACTTTCAGAATTAAACAACCCTGTTTCGTTTTTCAAAGTGACAGTGCAGTGGACCACACACCAGGAGTTACTGCATATCGGCTGAATGGACAATAACTTCATCTGCAGTAATGCCACCATAAGCAGTCATGGGGTTTTACCTTACAGAGATTTTTTCCTATCTTATTTTTTTTTCCTTCACGAAATTCAAATAGTTTCTCAAAGTCATGTTGTACTTTTACACTGTCACATAATTAAAGTGCTTAGCATTACATGCTTGAAAACATTCAAATTAATAACTAATGAAATTAAACCAGCATACAGTGGTGCACTGAGATATCAAAAGGCCTGATCACTGCCTTATTTTGCTTGTCCTCAGTAGTCACTGAAGTCAAGAGGAATTGAGGGCACAGACTGGATTTAAACACCCACAACCCTAGTATTTGCTTCTACTTTTCATCATCTGAAACAGAATCAATTGCTTCTTCCATACTGTGTTACATATTACATTCATAAACAGAAAATAAAACAACATATCTTTTATTTTGTCTAACTACTTTTTAACAGTTCTGAATTCAACAATTCATACTAATAATTAAATCACCCAGGTCTACCCAGAGCTGCCTCCCTCTTGCTGGCTCAGCACTGTACTCTTTAACAATAACACAACACTCTTTTGTAAATACTGTAAGAGTGCATTGGAAGCTTTATAAAAGACTCTGCATAAAGCCATGCTCACATCAATTCAGAACACCAAGTAAAGTAGAGAACTGGAGAAAAGGCAACAAATCTCTCTTTAAGTCAAAGATCTGAAACAGCCTTTGCACAAACCATGGGAAAGACAAGACCTGGAATAGTTCTCTTGATAAAAGGTGTTTTTTGGTAAGTCTTTAAAGAGAGATCCAGAGGAGTAAAATCAAGGGCAGGGACGACAGTAAAGAAAAAAGGATTCTGAAACAAACCAAGACACTTGCAACAGATTGTCTGGGAACACTGTACTAACGCATGATGAGAAGCAAAAGAAAAGCTGATTTTCTATGATCTTTGATTCACTGTCATTTACAGTCACCCCACACCCCTCAAGAGTTTTGGTAACATTTATTCATTCTCCCACATCAGGAGAGATCAGGAAAAATGGAGTGAACTTTCCCAGAACAGGGCTGTTTTCTCCACTGACTATATGAAAAATTAGTGCTCAGCTTTCAATACGAAGCAGACGCAGCATGATTAGGTTATTCCTCAGTTTCTCCTAAGACAAGGTAACAACAGCACTACTTAAAGGGGGATGAAGATCAGGGAACAACTTTTATATACTTATTTTGAGTGCATAAAAGATAAATTATGTTGTTGTAACAATACTTGCCCTCTTCTCCTGCCTCCCAAGAAAAACTCTCAGTTTTTCCTACGTAGAACAGTCTTCCCTTAAATTGGAACAAATTCACAGAAAATCTCAACAGCCTCTTCAGAGAGCAGTTTCAAATCGTTAGAAGTTTGAAGAAGCAAGGCTAGTTCATGATCACTTTGTGGTAAACTGGATTCAGTATCTACCACTGCAAAATGTACCACATAGATTACACTCAGGCAATAATAGCACCCCATTAAATATTTTTTCTCAAGTTGCAAGAAGGTTGGGCCAGTATGTGGGAAGCAGAAGAAATGAGCTACAACAAAGCAATTGTTACACACGCATAATAACTAGGGAGAAATCTCTTATTAATTTCAAACATAACACTCATATTAAAACCAACATATAAATTCTCATCTTTAAGACTAATTAAAGGAAAAATAATTCCTCTGATATTTAACAGAGTTCAGTACTTTCTCTTAGCACTAATAACACTGCAATAAATTGCTGTTGCCCATTATCTGTCCATCCTTACTTTTCACAATAACACAGTACTACACTAATATACTGAAAAATGATCTATTTTAAACACTTTTCTACCTGAATACTTCATTCCAGTATTCTTTCACGTAGGAAACCTGGTGAAAAGGGATATCAAGCTTCTGACAAACCCGGTAAGCATCTTCACAATCTCTGTCAATGGAGCAAGCTCCTTGTTCATCCAGAGGGTCCCAGTTCTTCATAAAGACGCCTGTCACCTGGTAGCCTATGACATGAAGGTAAGAACGACCTGTAAAGTGCAATTCTTACAGCCTGGACCCCAAACCTGTCATTTTCAAGACCTGCTTAAGTAACTGGTTCCTGCAGAAGATGCCAGTAGTCCTGTAGTGAGCAGAGACGCTGCTCAGCTCTGCGGGACAGTTGCTGTCCGGCTATTTGTTTTCTATAGCTAATATTCAAGGTAAGAACAAGCTCTCCCGGCAGCCTAACGCGGCGATGTGTCCGCGCTCCGAGCCTCCTCCCGAGCCGCCCGGCTCCCCGCGGTGCCCCGACCGAGGCGGGGCTGTTCCACCGCCGGACCAGGCGGGTGAGCGCGGGGCAGCCGGGTCCGGGCGGCGCGGTGAGGTGAGG